TAACTTTTTTTTGTTGATTTATTATGCATGTATGCACAAGATTTTATTATTTAAAAGGCCATTATTACTAATAAATAATATATATTTACCTCATAGGGTAACAACACTGTTATTCATTTTAGTTAAGCTTATATATTACTGTATGCAATGCTTACTTAGCCTTTTGAAGTTAAAATATTAATCTAGTTAGTTTATAAGAATGATATTTTTGAGATATATAGTTTTTATCCTTGTTTTATTATCTCAGTAAATCTGTTACACATTTTTTATTCTATTTAATTAACTAAATAATAACATAACATTTGTAACTGAAAACTATATATTTAAATTTAAATATTTTGTGATGTATCTTAAATCAGCTAACTGAAAAAAAACATAATGAAACATTATAATCTTATTGAAAATTTATGCTTCTAAAAGATTATACAAGTTGAAAATTATATTTATTATATACATTTAACTGCCAGAACAATAACCTTTTGAATGACATAAAATGTATTGATTAATTGATATTTAGACAGTTGTATTAGATACTTACTAGCTAGTATGAAATGCCCCTTCTTTTGTCTTTATTTATTTTTATGCTGTTCATTCATACAAAAGTTAACCTTTTTTTAAACAGCTATCTGATCAAAGAGTTGTAAATGCTGCTACTAGTGTTTGGAGTTCATTAGCTCAACAAGCTGCAACAGACGCAAATAATCAAGTAGCTGGAGCTTCAATTAAACCATCTACAGCTGATTCTTTTCAGCAGTTTAAAAAGCAAGCAAAAGAAAATGCTAAAAAGGTATTAGGAGTATAAATTGAAAAATAAATTAGTAAAAAACCATTTAAATAACTATATACCATTATTTATTATTGATTGTAATATAATAGCAACGTGCATTGATTGAACAACAAGAGATGAGGCGTCATCAAAAAGAACAAGCAGAAAAAGAGCGCATTCGTATTGAAAATGAAAAAAGGAGAGAAAAGGAAGAAGAAGAAGCTCTTGAAAAAGCTAGGTAAATTGTATAATTTATTTTGTATTTAAAAATGTATTTTATGTATTTTATCTTTTATTGTAATGTTTAGAAAAATTGTTGCTGAGCAACAATCGTCCCGCCTAGATGAAGTGAAAGTTTCTAGCAATACAGATGATAGTTCAAGTCCCAGTCAAGACCGTGCTGCTGAGGGACGTGAAAGGCAGAGATTGCGGGAACAAGAGAGGAGACGTCGAGAAGCTGTAAGTTTTTTTATTTACTGCCCCGATTGATTTAGGATACGGATTGTATTAAATATAATATGTTTATATAATTTAAAGAGTCAGTCATTTTGAAGAAGTGTTTCATGTGATATCCAAAAGTATGAGGATATTCCTGACAGGTTTTAGGTTAACTTTTTAAATAGGAATATATTAAATGAATGCTTGTAATATACATAGGTTTCCAGATGAAAAAAAAAATCATCAGAACAGCTTTTAAATCATTATGCTTGTTAACATTGAACAATAAATGAATATTTATATCTTTACTTCTATAATAAAAATTAATTTATAAACCATTGCCAGCAAAAAAATAATTTTGCAATAATTGGGAATTCAATTAGATTTTTAAGTTTTTAAATGTAAATCACATTCTCAAATTTAAATACCAATTAATCATTCTATAGATTTAAATATGATGGACAAAACATGTATTAATTTTATTTATTTGTTATTGAATTCTTTGTGTCAATAAAGTTTAAGTACAATTGGAATTTTTCTAATTTAGATGGTGAACCAGATTGACATGAATCGCCAGAGTGATCTGATGGCAGCATTCGAACAAACATTGGCACCTTAATTACTGCGATGACCAATGACTTTATACCGAGATAAATTATCTTCAGATCTTCTATTTGTCTGTTCATCCTATGTATTTAGAGTATGTATATCTGTGTAAATAAGAGTAAATGTGTGCCTTCCATGTAAATAATTCATTTTATGAATGAATTTCACATTTGGAATAATGTTATAGTTTTTTTTTTGTTAAGACAAATTTTATTATTTTACTTTTATCATTATTTGTTTTCTAGACTTGACAAATTGGTAGTTTTTTTCTATATTTAAACCAAAATGTAGTAAAAAAAATTGGACTTGACACATATTATTTATTTGTTTTATGTAAACTATATTTAACAAACAACTTGTTCGAAGCGCTCAAAATATGTCTTATTAGTGTTGAGAATCATATTTAAGATAAAAAGTTTAGGAATAACATTTTTGCATATTTTATTATTATTATTTTTGTTTTGATACAAGTATTTTGAATGCAGTGCCTGTTGGCTGATAATTTTGCTACCTAAATACCATATTTATATTTTTTCGTTCATGTATATAAAACTACATTTAAAGTACCAAATCAAATTGTACATAAATCAACAACAATTTTGTACAAAACCTTGTATAATACTAAAAATAGTTATATGTTAAAGAAAATAATAAAAAGTAATAATAATAATAAAAATAAAATATTACAATTTGAAAAATATTTTATTATCAACTAATTTTTATTATTTCATTCATTTTTCTTTCCCCTTTAGCAATTTAGAGTTCAGTATTATCTTAAATTTAGTTCACTAAATATAACTTTTGCATAATTTATAATAAAAAAAAAAATTATATTTGTATTGTATATGTAAACATAATATATAAACTTATAAAAAATAATTTAGTTTTAATATATAATTATGCAAAGTTTTGTGTGTTAAGATTGTTAAACATAGTTAAAATAACAGAATAATCTATAACACAGGTTGTTTTTATCTTTTTTTTTTTTTATTATTATTATTGTAATCATTTATTTATTATTTTCAAGAAATATCAAGTGGTCATAAATGGACTTCTGTTAGTGTATAAAATGGCCAATTTTTATTTATATTTTTTAGTATATTATTAATAACTTGAAACTTAATTATAATTTGTTATGATATATGAGAATAATTATATAATACAGGTGTTTTACATTCTGCATACTTTTGTGGTTGATATTTTCCACATTTTTAGCGTCACTATTTTAGCATTAAACATGCCATTGAGCAGGTATAATTTTTTTTATTATTTTATACATTATTTTGGAAATTGTATCTGGTGTTCTAATGTATACAGTATACATATACATTATAATTCACACCGAGTTTACATACAAATGAAGATGTAAACAATTATTGAGACACTGTATGTAATATACTAAATTTGTAAAAAAATAACAGATTTTTTGGTTTACTTATATTTTAATGTAATAATTACGTTTAACTATTTATTTATTTAATGGTTAAAAAGACTGATGTATTTTATAAAATATGAATTGACATTTATGTATACTACCTGCCCTAATTTAAATAAAATATTAGTAGGTTCTATGATCTAACCTTCAAAGTACGCAACATTAGCGTTCATGTCTTAACATTGCATACAATATGTCATTGTATATTAACATTAATTTCTGTATTTCAATTAAAGTGACGCTGTTTAATAATCATACTTGTTTGTTGACTTTTCATAAAATAAGTAAAGGAGATTATTCATGATCAGTTATTTTATTTTGAAGTAAGTTATAACTTATAGTCATATAGGGTTAGGATGTTTATGATTTTGCATATTTTTTTAGGTTGTCCAATAGCATCCATTCTTATACAGAAATATGTTTCATAATATCTATATTCAAATTATCAAAATTTTATTTTGCTTATAATTGCATATTTTACCATTTTTTATTTATAAGTGTATAGTTTGTGTTTTTTCCGTTTTTAAGCGCATATTTGACAAGTTTGATTATCTATATTTCACAAATTATTACTTATTTATTGTTGAGAATTCAATATGGTTATACCTGCTTAAATAGAATTTTTGATAACCCTTGTCAATTGTCACTGTCAAAACTTATCTTGAAACTGCAAGCTATTACAATTTGGTCAGATATTTTAACAGAATGTTTAATAATTTATAGTTGGTTTCCGTCTTGTCTACAACCAATGTAGAATACCATATATTGCTCATTTCGTGTTTTGCAGTGTACCTATTTTATTTATTAAATTACTCAGTTATGCCTAAAGTTAAAATGTTCTTGTTCTAACTAAGAGGTTTTGTAAAAAAATTTGGAGAGCAGGTTTTAACTAATGGTTTAATTCTTTATTGCAAATTATGCAAAGTTAAGATCGGTAGTGAACGTTGGCTTACTGTGAAACAGCATATGAACACTATTAAATATATTCGATTATAAGTAGACAAAAATAAAATACCTTTATCAGAAATCTTATCTATTAATAACTAAGTTAAAAGCAAAGCTTATTTTTGAATTTGGATTAGTAATGAATTAATTTTCTTTCAAATTATATAATGAGTAGAAAGTCAAGTCTAATTTATAAACTTTAATATTAAAAAAACGACATAATGTACCATGATATTTTAAACAACAAGTAAGTAAGAACTTATATATTTATTGATATAATGTTATTTATTTAATACTGAAATAGAGAAAACTTGTCAACAGAAAAATTTTTGCTTTTAGTTTTTACAATTGTTATGTAAAATCTAATATATTCCAGGGAGATACTTAATAATAAAACAATCAAATATTTATAGGTAGGTACAAAACATTCTAACACACAGTGACTGCACTACATATTTTGGGGCCCTTGATAATTATGGAACTAGACGGTATCTTCTTAGACTTGATATTTTGTTTTATATAAGAGCTGACAATCTTTAGACACTTCAGTTTTCAGATACCAGATACCAATCACCAGTAGTGATATATTTTATTATTCCTAATTGTGAGGATAGATACAATTTATTAGATATCAATATATCATCAAAATTAAAACATACATATTAAGCTTATAGCAAAATAAATCATACAGAACAAAAAAAGTTAGCTGCATAAAAAAATATATTTATATATTCATGTGTCAATGTAAGTAGTGAGTAAATTTAATTATAATACAATAAATAATTAAAGGGTATTTGTATTTTGCTTTTAATAAAATATATAAAACGTCAAATGTGTACATACATAAATATAGGTTAGAATAATTAAAATAATTTTTTCCTAGATTTTGCTGCAGCAAAGTCATCTATTGTTTTATCATAATTTATTGTATCCGATATTGCTTTTTCAATAGGTATGATAGATAACCCACAAAGCTTTTCTTGGCTGATCCTATTGCGGAGATAATTTTTTATAATTTTTTATAATTTTTAGCTTAGAAAAACTTCTTTCTGCGCTGGCTGATGTGACTGGAATGGTAAGAAGTATCCGAAGCATAACATTAATATTTGGAAATGAACCATTGGAATTTTTAACAGTTGAAAGTACTTCGAGAGGAGTTTGGTTTTCAGTAACATGCAATCTAAAAATTATTAATTCTGCATATAAATCTAATGCATCAATATCTTTTGATTCTCCATCAGTTAAACGATTTTGAAGGTCCATGTAATGTTTTAATAGATCTGTATTGGCTATGTTGGTCAATTTTCCAATTCGAAATAAGAAACTAAAGTCATCTTTATAAGATTCAAGTTGTTTAAAGCGGGTTTCCATTGAACTTATACCTTGATCAACAATATAAAAAAAATATTCTTGTCGAAAAATAGCCTCCGCATCATTTACTACATCATCGTCGCCTTCACAACTGAACATTTTCTTTTTTTTTTAAACGACGTGTTTTATAATTTGTATCAATACCATTTTCTTCGCAAATTTCTTTTGCAGCCATAACAGACTTTTCAAATCCTGTTTGTCTAAATGATTTAAAAAAAATTAAAAGACTGCAACATATTAGTTGAGATGTCTATATCAATATTTTTACCTTGTAAACTTTTGCTAACAATATTCACTTCTACTAAAATACTATACCATATAGTTAAACTTAGAATAAATTCAAATGTACTGATTTCATTCGCCAATGACTGAGCTTCACTTCTTGTCATTGTGTCACTTGCCTCTCTTGATACTTCTTCCGAGGCTTCTATGATATTTGGTAGCTGATAACGAAGGGCTTTTACACTATTTACTCGACTCTCCCACCTAGTTTCTGACCACTTTTTCACAGTCAAAAATTCACAATGCTTTTGAAGAATATCCCATCGATTTGTGGACGCTGCAAATATTGTATAGTCACGCTGAATTGTTCCAAAAAATGTTGAAGCCTGAACTGAATTTTTTTACCGAATCTCTAAGAACCAAATTTAAGTTATGTGAAGCACAAGGTGTGAAAAATGCTCTAGGATTTAGATTATTAATTCTATAGTTTGTACTCCTTGATATTTCCCAACCATATTGGAACCGTTGTCGTAAGCTTGACCTCTACAATCCTTAATATTAATACCATACTTTTTCAGATTACCCAAAAGAATATTAGCCAGACTTAGTCCTGTTGTTGAGAAAACTGGTATAAAATCTAAAAAGTACTCTTCAGTATCTGGACATTTTGCTTGACCATCATACATATTTACTATAGGTACACGAATCATGAGTGACAATTGTTCGTTGTGGCTAATATCAGGCGTGCAGTCCATAATAACTGTATAATATTTAGCTTCTTTTATATAATTAATAATTTTATTTCGGATATTATTAGACATTAAATTAATTAATTCATTCTGTATTTCATGACCCAAATAATGTACACGTGTTTCAGTACTTTTAATTCTTCTAACATGATCTATAATTACTGGATCAAAATTGCTTAGCATTTCAATTGCTCCTAAAAAATTACCATTGTTTTTTGTAAATAACACATCCGACTGCTTTCTAAAAGCATTATTATTTTTTGATAAGTAGTGAATTACAGATACAATTCGCTTAAGAACATCTCTCTAATGCATTTTTTCTCTCTCCATTAGAGCCAAACATTTGCTATTAATAGCTGTATCAGTTGAAATTCTTGATTTTAACTCACTCCAGCATTGTGTAGATTTATAATGTATTATAGACCTTTCATGTGATTTTAATATTTCTGTAAGGTGTTTCCAATAATCAACACCAGTGTTAGTAATAACGGTTATTTTGTGTACCATCGAGAGATAGCATAACTATATCTATAATGAATAACAACGGGGTTACCCCGCAAAATGTTTGTCTACCAGCTTGTCTAAACTTTAAATACCTACTTATGAAGTTATAACTCATAAACTACTCGTTCTAAATTCGATTTTTATGAATCAAAATACTTAGAAAAATGAGTTAATACCTCTGGCTAGTTAGAAACATCACTCCAATCATTTTGTTTATCTGATACTGAGAAAATCATGGCAGTTTGTTTATAAATGTTATCCTCTCTGGAGGATATGATTTGACTTTCATCATCAGCTCTCTGTAGTTCAACATCTTTTGCTCCATCGTATAAATTTATCTGTTCCTTAAAAATGTATACTAAAATAATTTATGAAATATACTTATGTCAGGGAATTAGCAAAAATTATAGGTATTTTGAAAAAAGATTATTACGTTCTAAATTAGTTTACTTTAAAAAAAAAAAGTATTTTATTTATTTAAAAAAGAAAATAGTACTTAAAAGGTACTTACAATATCAGTTGCTATTAGAAGATTGTACCGACTTGTTGATCAAATTTTCTGTGGTTACTGTATTATTCAAACAATTTATTATTTGCGGGAGCAATTTTATTTTGTCATCGCGTTGTTTTTTTAATTTTCTTTTTAAAGATCCACTTGGATATACACGTTTGGACATGATTCATATGTATGATATTAATGATATATGATTATAATTTATAAAATAACGCAAAAGGTATTAAAAATGTAATTTAGTCAGTATATTAGGTACGTAAGCCATAAACGAAACGAAAACAATTTGCTAGGTAAATGTACTGTGTACACACTAGTCGACTTGTGTCTTGTGCAAGTACAATGTACACATTACAAGCTACACGGCTGTTGGCTAGACATATAAATGACAATTAGGTTTATTACAACATAAACAATTAGTAACGAATATCACACGAGTAAACGACAGCTTTAGGTTTTTGAGTTATTTTTTAAGTTGTAAATGTGATTATCTAATGGCTAACGAGTTATTGCAATATTGCCGTTATCTTTTGTTATTATTGACCGAGGTGTTGTATTTACTACCTATCGTAGTATTTTCAATTCGGTAATCGGTATAGGTAGGCTGCATTTATTATTTACAAACAATTATTCTGAAGTCGTGTGCCATAAATTAAATGATTTCTTTTTCTCTGTAATAATAAAATTATGAAAAACAAATAAGGTGACATGAGGGCCCGGGGCCCTTCTAACCACGGGGCTCCGGGCATTTGCACGGAGTGCCCCCCCCCCCCCTAGCGCCGTCACTGCTAACACAACAGTTACTTATTGGAAAAAATAAGTATTATTAAAGTCATAAAAATGAAACATATGTAGTAAAAATATTTAATTTTTGAGTAAAAAAAAATGTGAGTTTTATTAGCAGTCGAACAATAAATCAATCTGATTTATTTTGTTTTTATGTTACATACTTACATGTACATGAAACAACTGTTTTATGGTAGTTCTATTATTTTTTTATCTTCTATACTATCCAAAACATGCATGTTGTGTATATTGACATATTGTGGCTGTAACTAGATTTTTTTATTTCTCTGATATAGGTAGTAAATCAATGACTGATCAATACCTAATGGGGTTTATGCGATAAGATCTTGATGTTAAATATTATAAGACTCGCTAGTTATACCAGGTAAAAAATGATAACCGTATAATATGTTATATTATGTAACTAATATTAAAATAAATAAAAATGTGTAAATATAATAGATTTTACTTTAACGATTGGTAGCGATGGAACAGGACTTCTTCGGAAAACAATCCTATATGTTGTAGGTAGAAAGATTATTACTTAATATTATGTGAAATTATTCAAAATAGCTATTCGTTAGAAGTGTTAATTAGTGACACTCCTTGATAAATGAATGAACAAATGATGCACGCATCTTGGTATGGTTACAGAATAGCAAGAGATAAATACCGTATTGGTGGTATACCTATGTACGTTAGGTACATTGGTGTTGTACTTGTTTGTATACGTGTAAAGCTGTAATAATAAATTTGTTCCTTGTCGTCGTTCTACACTGAAGAGTTCTTAGTTCCTTATTTTTGTTGTAAAAAAACTAAAATACTATGAGTTACAGTCAAGAATGAAACCATGACAGCGGTGTGTCTGTATTGCCTATCCATATCGCCGTGTGCCCTGATGGGTGTACCGTACTATGATGCAGGACGAATGAAAAATATCCTTGAATATATTATAATAATAATATATGTCTTATATCAAAAAAAAAACTGAATAGTATATTACCAAAATATTATTAGTTCTCAATATGATCCTCGACACAGACACTACCCCTGCATAATTGTTATTATCCATAAAACATTAAACCTGTTTTTACTACAACAACTGGGATTTTTTCTATGGTGAACCAGATTTAGTATTTTACTGTCTGTATACGAACTGTATCCCCGTTATTTTTTGGGTCACACTCTAGTTGCGTCTCGATTATATTTTTATGTACATACTGGTTGCGACCTGTAAATTTTAAAGTTGAACAATATGTCCCATCCCATTTTTACACGAGACTTATCTGCCTATATCGATAATCAGTAATAAAGGTATAGGTTAAAAATAATATTTTGAGTGTTTTCTTATTATTATGCATAGCATGCGTTTTGTAATTTTGTAATTGTTATAAATAAAAATATGGTACCAATGTGGCAATGTATACCAATATGTTGGTAAAAACTAAAAATATAACTTATCAATTCAAATCTGCTAACTAATTTATGTTTTGGTTGAAATCTGTCATTAACTGTTCTAAAAATTATTCTTTATTCAATTGCACGAGTTGTACTTTGTACTTGTTTACATAAATATAAGTTTGTAACCTTGTAACCATCATTTGGTTGGGACGCATTTGGACTTGCACAGCAAAAACCTGGAACACAATAAGCATTACCTAAACCAAGTATTATTAATACCTACCTTTTTATTTGGGTAAATGGAGGTCAAATGATCCAAATTATATTTACTTAACCTACTAATGCTTAGTAGTAAGATAAATAAATTTGATCACAATAATATCGTAGGATTTACTTAGTAATATTATAGGCTGGCAGACTTTTTCGCTCAGATTCGTTTTTCGTATACGCAAATTAAAATTGTACACATTCATTACAGTGATTTAGATACTTAATGTACAGTAGAACATTATCGACTTCCCTTCTTTTTTTTGTCATTAAGAATTTCTTCATCCTTAATATTTTGTTGAAATTAGAAATTACATAGTATACTTAATTTTTATTTTACTGATAAATGATAATGAAGTCAATACAGTGCATGCAGGGAAAATGGTATGACTTATTTGATTTGAATATGAGATAAATATGTGATAAAGAAAGATGAATTTGATGAATTTGATGAATTAAGGTGCTGGAGTTTTCAAAAAATATCTAAAAAAGTTTATTAATTTATTTTGGCGGAAACTATAGAATATAATTTTTGTCGGCGATTGTAAACTGGGCCCAAAATACAGATACACACAAAATCACACATGCAAACTGCGCCCGAGTAAAATTACAGATAAAATACTTAATTTGTTACAGACATATAATATGAATAATTAAAAATATAATATAATTTTAAAAAGCAAAATAAATACAAATATTACAATCAGTTGTCGTATTACTGCAATGTAGATATTCGATAACGTGTTCGTATTTGTTGACGAAAATACAATTTCTGTGATATGCTTGAAAAAGTACACAATTGTCAAACATAGAGACTTTAATAAGTCAAAATTTAATAAGTTAATAAGTCGGGCGCAGTTTACAAAAAAGAAATATCATTTGGGCGCAGCTTACGTATGCCCACTTCTGGTGAAGACCCCGAGGAGGAGACGGTGTCACGGTGATAATGGGTGATATTATATCCTTTTTTATATTATTATATTAATCGTAATATTTTCAAATACCTATACTATTTAAATACAGTCAGTTATATTATAAATTATAATACGATAGTACAGTGGTATAGGTAAGGGGGGTGAACCCTCACAAAATATACATATTGGTGCATTTTAATAAATACTCCTCTGGCGGTGGCAAACGGCGGTGAATGCCAAAACCGATGTGCTACAAGTGGTAAAACCATTCGGACCCAGTGTGGCTAGACTCTCAAGGTAAACGTATTCTCTAGAAATTAAATAAGTACCTGATGGGTCCAGTAAAATTGTAAACAAACTAGCCCGACGTAGACAACGATTAAATTTACTTGTGCGAGTATAGTTAGAAAAAAAAATAATAACGTCACGTACTTAATTATTGTATTATGTGTTTATTATAGTTAATATATTTGTGTATGCTGCGCTTTATTCAGTCATATTTTTGTACAATTCCTAACCCAATCCTAAATGCAATTTTTAAAGTAAAAAACTTCCAATTTTTGTAATTTTAGCCTGGAACACAGCTCCGTTGAAAGTCCAACCTCCCCCCCCAGGTTTTGGTTCTTATTATCCAATGAACAACAATTCGGTTTTCCTTAACTTGATAATATTATATTTAATTATTTATAATATCTTTATCTTATACTAAATAAAACACAACAATTATTATTAAAGAAACTATTTCTTATAGGTATATAGAAATGTACAAAATAAAGATAAAGGTTTCAATATTATACCTAAATAATATAATATATCAAATGACACGTTCTATGATGGCATTACCTATTACAAAAACTATTGTCCATGCGGTGTCATGATTTACGTTTATTGACGTTCAACCATATACCGCCTTTCGGGCACGACAGGAATGACGCTGGTTCGAACTCGATGCGTGCACTGGATTTGTCGCTCAGCGTCACCAAATAGCTGTGTAGGAACTGGGCCATCGCCAGTTTCATTTCTAACATGGCAAAACGCATACCTGTCCAAAAGAATAGATACAACTTACTGGAATAGCATTCTAATTTCGGTGAAGTACATTTAGGGCAGCAGTGGGGTTAAATGTATGTACAAGTTATCTTATAAAAATATTATTTATTTATTATGATCGGTGATGTAAATATTTTGGCTCTATTTTTAAGATCGATAGACGTTTTTGGTTTTTTTCTGCTTGTCTTTGTAAATTGTCAAAATCACGAAAATGTGTAAGTTATTTAGTAGTTAAGAATTCATAACATTTTTAAATTTAATATCTCGGGCTCGAAAATTGAACACAAGATCCCTTATAAGGGTTTTTCTTAAGAGGACTTTACACCCACATGGGGATGTCTCTGTCTTAAAAATGTACAACATACCAAAAACTGCAGTTTTTCGCGGGATAATAGAACCACTCAGTCTGTAGTTCTAGTAGAGATACTAAAAGTTTACACGATATAGAAGATATTTCCTGTATTTTCTTATTTGTTTTATATAATTAATAAAAAAAAGTTTTAATACTTTTAAAAATCTGATATTTTTACGTTTTTCAAACTTAAATCACTTTTGATATATTGGCTTTGTCGAAAAAATAAAAACTCTACGACACAGAAAAAATTATCTTCTATTCATGACGAAAGTTTGGTTTCTTAGTTATTACTGTAGCCGTCTTGGTTCTTTCCCGTGCGACACAGGTTTTGCTATGTTTTACATTAGAAAGACGGGTACAACACATGTGGGTGGGGCGTCCTCTTAATCAATTTAGGGAAGTATTAATAAATACTATTAATTTAACGAATTAGTAAAATAATAGGTTACGTAGAGCTAACTATTGTATAATGTTAATATTAAAATATTTCTGGCAAATTTGTTTTGAAAAACGTACCTATGCATATGCGCGGGCCATCGCCGAACGGCAGATAAACCCCAGCGGGTCTCCCATTGTCGCCGCCGCCGCCGTCGCTGTCTTTGGCGAACCGGTCCGGGTCGAAGGTGTCTGGTTCCGGATAGTACTGTGGGTCGTGATGTATCGCGTACACTGGTATCAAAACGGCTGTGCCCACGTCCAGGTCCAAGTTTGTTCCGGGAACCCTGAATTGTTTGGTACATACCCGGGCTAAAGCCTGTACTGGTGGATATTTTCTCATCGTTTCTACAGTAGGCAGGGGTTAGGTTCCGGGGGTACATAATATGTTGCGAGGCATTGGTATAATGTTTTTGGTGGAGTGACCGAAAAACAATCAAAAAAATCCGAAAAATTACACACACATCAACGATTTATGTTCGTTATAATATTAGGTAGTATAGACGTATATTTTGAAGATAATAATACATGATATAATATGGTTTTTTATTTGTTGTTGTCAAAGCAGAGTCAAACTTACTCGAATTTAGAGGATACATTTGAGTAGTGCCTTAAAAAAAATAGAAGGAGAAATACGAGTACATCGGTTCTCCCCCCCCCCCCCACACACACACACCCACACAAATGCACATACAAAGAAACACATAAACAAATTACGCCACTGATTCATCACCCTCGCCTACTGGATTTTCGAATGTCAAATAAGCCGTCTGAGTCTTGGCCGATTGTGCTATACTTGTACTATCTCCTTGCTAGTATTGCATTATATATTTGCATATTACAACTTAGGTTTATTAATATGCACTGCGCGTGTGGCTTGCAAAAAACGACGGTCGAGCGCAATGCGGTTACTTGCCTTTCAGACATTGTTCTAAGTAGTTCATCGACGAGATTGCTTCATAAGAGAACGGCAGTCCATACGTATTGGCTGTCTTTTTGATTTCGTCGTACACCCTGTTTTGAATGTCCTGGTTGACGGCCATCTCGTGCAAGCAAAAACTCAGTGTCGTGGACGACGTCTCGAAGCCGGCCAAGAAGAACACGAACACCTTTGAAATCCAAGTTTACGTAAGTATTAGTATACCCAATATCATTCTATTATCATAGGCGGAGATTTAGTTGTAATTTAGGTAACTTTCCTTTTGGTAATGCGAATCGTATATTCTCCTCTCCACCATATTAATGTTCTAAATACGTTAATCTTTATTATGAATATTACCTATTGCTTATTGCTCAATAAAACATATAATATGTCAGTTGATAATTAATCTAAAATAGGTTAGGTTACCACACGATTTGTGTAAGTATATAGGTATACCTATAAAATGTCAAAAATTAACAGTAAGGAACATTTTTGGGATAATGACATAAGAAGGTATACATTTTTCAAAAAAGTAACAGTTGTTTTCAAAAAGTAAAAAAGGTGTACAAGTGGGTACCGCTGTGTATATCATGTGTCTTGTGACCGTGTGGGTCACTATTCCATGATGGATGTGTTATGTGTTAAATTTGAGTTCAATAATTTAAAATAATTGTATACGAAATACGATTTTGAATGTAGACGGTTTTTCAGCCTATATATTACTAAGTACATTTTATGGTATTATATATTTCCTAATTTATTTTACTATTTGTAATACAGTAAGGTTGAATTAATTTATGTAGAAAACATTGAATTTGAAAATGTCATTATAAAACTATAAAATATAATAATATACTTCAAATTTGTTTAGTCATAGTACTTAAGACAAACCTTGTTTTACTGAGCGCAATTCATTGGTGTATGAAAAGGTAATTTTAAGCGAAATTGGTAAACTCCCATTAAAATAACTTTTGAGGAACCTTACTGTGGACCATGTATTCCATATTATATAGGTATTATGTATTTACTTGAGCGGCGATCAACTCTTCGGTGAGTTCAATGGAATTAATCTCGCTTTGTGGATGGTGATTTTGGTTTTTAATCTCAAGCAACAGCTGTATGAAGTCGTTCCGACGCACTCGGTTGGTGTTCCGGAAGTCGATTGTCTGCTTTACGATGCCCATGAAGAACTGTTGTACTTCGGCCGGGAACGTGCGAAGTTTCAATGCCTTGAAAAGTTTTGGGAAGAACACTCGGACCATTTTAGCCAACGCTAAAGACGCGGAAGAATTGAGCACCGCACATCCCATCCGTCTGAATTCGGATTGCGAGTCTTTCAGCGAATTGCATTCCAGTCCGAACGCACACGTGCCAATCACGTCTGTAGTGAATTTGGCTGTTAGGTCACGAATTTCGAATTCTGTCTTTCCAGACTCAATAGTTGCCTGCAGATGAACCACAAAACGTAACACAGAGTTTATTATATTATACTTATTGGGATTTATTATTTAATATTATACATAGACTGAAATACTCTACTTAATGATTGGATTGATTTATTATGTAATATAAGTGCCAAGGTGGTATTATTGCTGTTATATATTTCAGCTTTAATAAGTATACCTATATATTTTATATTATTTTTAACAGCTTACATAAAATACTAATAATATATTATTACAGGTACATAAATATCATTATGATAATTCAATTATTTGTAGATTTAAAAAAAAGAGACACAAATTAAAGATGAAAATGTGTGTTAAGTAAAAAAAATCATATTAAATATAGAACTACACTTCTAGCACAACTACTTACATCCATGTACTCAATAAGTTGCAACCCGCAGCCTTGTAATAGTCCTAACATACTTTTGATTTTACCAGAGCTGAATGTGGGCGTGAGCTTTTGTCGGAGAATCTTCCATGTGTCGCCCTCTAAATTGACTAAATGTCTGGTCAACGGTTCCCTGTGACCGTCGTACAAGAATCCTCTGTCCGTGAAATGTGAGAAGCTCTTCACCAGAAACAGCCGAATGGTTTCTGGATCGCGGAGTAGTAATGTCGGTGTCTGTAACTGGTACATACCCACAAACTTTTCACCAGGAAAATCACTGTAAAAAATCACCACAATATTGTAGACCTTTATAAGTTGAAGGTACATGTTGTATCGATTATATAGTTAATGTAGAATAATTGTATAACTGTTAACTTTTAAGTATTATACTAATATGGTGTGGTCTTTATATAGGTGTCATACAACCTATACTGTATTCATCAGGATCAATAAGACTTTATTTTTACTACATTTGTTTCAAACTATTTTCTGCATGGAAGGAACACATTTGTTTACTATGGAATTATATGGTATTAGGTGCCTAAAATAATATTTTACGTAGTTGGCGTACAACTAATCTTAAACAGTTCATTTTCGTGTCATTTAAATATTTGAAGTTGAAAACCAAATGTTAATTTATTAATTTCTAGCAATTATAGGTATCTGTATTGTTTTTTTTAAAAATGCAAAATAAATAGTACCAATCCATTAGGCAGGTACCTCTGGTACCTAATAATAAAGTGCCGAATTGTTCGCATTTCATTAATATGCTGAAATCCTACAGGGAATATTCAGTAATAAATACTGAAGCCACAGTGGTCTGCTGCATATTTATGAAATCATCATCATTATTATACAATAAAATCGAATGTGTAGTTATTCGCTGTATTCCTATAATCAATCTAAAATAACTATTTCCTCGGGGGAGGCAAGTTTCCTCGGGTATACAATGGTTGCGCCTTATACAATAATATACAATATACCTACTTGTAAATATTTTTCAAACACTCGCCCTGGGTCATTCTTAGCGTCACATGGTCTTTGATATTACCGAATAGCGGTACGGGTGTGGCAAACGTCACTGACTTCGTCTTCCAATACTTGTATGTGGAAGTCGTATACTTGTACAGGAAAAGAGCCACTGCCGTACAACATGCCACGATTATGACAGCCGCTGGAAACATGATGCACCTCTATATATTGGTGAGTCGTGTTTTTGAATCTAAAAACAGTGTGTATAAATTATGTTGTTTATTGTGTATTGGATATAATGTCATGTATAAAGTATATTTTGTATAACTATACACTATCTTCCACTAGTAATAAATGATGCAGACATGCAGTCTAACTGTCTAAGGCATAGAGCATCTATAGCGAATGGATAAATCTACGGTTTTGGACTTTTGGCATATTTAAATATGATACAAGTTTGAGAGTAATAATATTGCAGTAGGCTATTAAAATAGACATAATTTTTTGGTACTGCCTTCAACTTTCGTATTTGCATCGTCAACATGTTTGATAGTTTTATACAATTTTCTCGTTATTACAGATTGATTGAAAAGTGTTGACGATTTAAATGTACCTAGGTACCTATAATATATAGGTAGTAATGAAAAAATAATAAATATATATTGGATTAAAATATTGCACAACAAATTTATGGGGAATCTTTTATTACATTTTAAAATATTAGATATGAAAAGGAAACAACTTTATGAATTTATCACTCAAAAAAATTTGCCAATTATCCTGATTTTTACGAATTTTGTTAAATTTTTTATATTTCAGAGGCTCATAAAAAAATATTGTGGGCTTACGCTCAACTTTTTTTTAAATTTCTACTAACAACTTACGAGAAACCTTGTATTAGATTCAATTTTTTTACTGACATTTATTAAAAATGACCTAATCAAAATTGAAAATTTCGTATGATTACAAGTAGCACAACAGGAGTCTAAATATTTAAAAAATTGTATACTCGTATAGTGTATAGAAAAATGCTAATATAAACACTCAGTCAAATACACCAACTAAATTCACTTTCTCACCGGAAAAGGTCCTGAAGTTTTGAAAATCAAAGCATTATTTCAACTACTTATAATGTAAACAGACACACACAAAAAAAAAAAATTATAATTATAAAAGCGCACATTGTAAAATCAATACAATCATCGCTCCGCTCAGAATTCAAAATTATCTTTAACCATGTTTGTGGCAGACATTATTACATGAACGCATTTTATTTTCATACATTGATATACCTATACACGTTTACAGTCAATTTGAATATTTGATTAGGTTATTATGTACAACGATTAAGCTGCCCATACAAACTGTTTGATCATCTTACATTTAGAATGTCATAACCGTGTTCCTCGATAACACTTATAAATACAAACATGTTGAAAATAAATAAGTAAAACTTTTCTATCGTAGCATTTTTGGACTATTGATGGGAGGGAGATGAGTCTGGAGGAGAAACAGCCCTTTAAGTATAATATTATACTATAGTTTGTATTTTGTTTAAGACCGTGTGTTGGAATTGGTGGCGTATATAAATGAATTATTTTCACTATGGGCCAACTGGCAAACTAATTCTTAAATACACTTCCGGAAAATTGGTAGAATAGTTTTATATATGATTTTGTGTACCGACAAATCTTGGCATACATTTTGTAATTCCGAGGTCATTTGCTACATTAAGTGAAAATTTAAATACTTCTTTAAATTCTCTCTCGACATTTGATCTTATCTCACTGATGACTGATTGAACAACTTCTATACTTTCAACAGCTGTCATATATCAATATTAGGTTTTTGGAGATAATAGATACTTAGTATGTTATACCAAACAATTTATCAAGAGTAAATTAGAGTGATAATAACTTCAAAATCACAGATATTTTTATGGAACGATTAACCCATTGAACATGTCTTTATTGATATTCATTATTTGTTCTAGAGATGCGACAATAGGCAACATATTATCTTGAACTTGTATTTGTATATAAAACAATATGCAAAAAATGTTTTAATTTAATTTGAAATTTCACTATGTTGCCGGGTCTAGGGGGTCCCCTCCCTATATACGCCACCGGTTGTTTGTAATGTCCTATATGGCTATATATGAATTGTACAGTTTTAAACATTTAACGTATATAATTTCTGACTTTCTGTTATTCGTTAAAAACGGTTTCTAAACGTAATATATTCAAAATAGGTAGGTATATTTGATAGTTAAGATAACATAATTTGAATTAAAGGAAATGCACTGATCGCTATCCCACTTCAACGTGCCAAATGCATGTTTTATATTCTGTACCTGCATAAACAGAAACGTTCTGAAATTGATTACATTAATTAGGCCTGATTTATAGTTAAGCATGTGCTGTGTCCTGTATGGTATACACGTTTTTTTACGAAGCGTGTGAAGAATTTTGTACTCCTAATTTCTATATATATCCCATAGAATGCCATATTTTACGATGTATGTATAATATTATGATAAACGAACACGCACGACTATACATAAAAGGGGTCAACACGAAAACATAATCGTGATGGATTTGTATTGCTTTCTTGCTTTATTTTATGTGATTTCTCACAGTTTTATAAAGCTAAATCTGACATTAAGTTATTAATTTTTCGGATAAAATATGTATTACAGGAGATTCATATATACTTCTTTTTAGGGCTAGAACTTGAAAAATAGATCTTATGGTTTATGGAAATCATTTTAAGAATTTTCAATTGGTTTTCTAGTAAATTGTTAAAATCTTGTCAAGGTAAACTATTACAGAAATTAATAATTATTTAACTCGCAAATTTCCACCAATTACTTTTTTAAACCAAACATAATATTTCAAAATGGATGAAATTACAACTTTTAGTATTAAATATTGGATAAAAAAAATACAAGTTTAACGATAGTACCTATATGTTAAGATGTTTTTAATCGACTATTCTTTTTATTATATAGTTGTTCACCGCATAAATAATGTTTATATTATTGAATAGTTATTTTACCAATTTTATTGTTAAAAAATGTAAAAAACTATTTTTATATTAATTTCAGATTTGAAGAATTTATGTGTTTAGGTAAGATTAATTCTGGTACATCCAATCTATGTGTATAAGATCCAAAAAATATTAACTCACAATTTATTTTTATTTGCTTTAAAATATACTTAGACACGTGTAACTTATAATATATAACATACTGATGAAAACAATAATCAGTTTATAGATTCGTCAATCATAATTCATTCGTACCTATCAGACGAATATAAGTTTATAACAAATAAACAAAATTATGGATATTTTTAATACAAAGCCTCATTAAGTAGGTATAGTATATTATATTAATATTTCTTATGTTGCACTCAATTTGAAATCATTTCAATGGATACAATCGTGCTGTATACATAATTTGCGATTGTTCCCATTTTACAATTTCTGATAGAAATCTTTATTTTTTTTTTCAGTTAATTTATTGCGGAATTTAAACATACCTATAACTTATAGTATAATGCGTAAATGTATACTGTATTAAAGTAAACCAAGCTCTGCTTAGAATATATTTGTTGTTGCTTTCTAATTAAAAATCTAAATACAAAAGTGGATCTTTCTCAGTGTGAGCGAAATGGGTTATTATCATTTCGAAATGAGACTAGCGTTCAACACATAATATATTACCGAGTACCTATTGAAGATATCAATGTATTTTTTCTTGGCAATATTACACAATATAATTTTCTTTTTTTTACCCGTACTTCAAGAGAACGGCCCTGAGCTGGATAAAATTGAAGTTTATATACAACATTATCAAAGTATTTCACCATTCAAATTTAACGTAGTATAATATTATTCATCAAATTATAATATTAGAAAAAATGTGATTATTCTATATAATTCTGTTTTACAAAAACAATTAATTAATTACGTTTACTTTGGATTACTATGCCGATTTCGACAATTTTACATCTGGCAATTAAATAAGAATTCAAATCGTAAAACCTTGGCCCAAAAACGTCTATATAGATGGTAAAGTGAAATTAAAAAGTAAGTGTGTGTAATTATTTTAATCAGATGCCTAAGTACCAACCATCAATATATTTTATAAAAATGACTTTCAGATGTAGGGCGCTCAAATTAAGATTTGTGACATAGCTGTGTAATAATGAGTTTTAGGCACTATAATGTGGACGTTTGGACATCTTTATCAATATTATTAATTACAGTTGTTAGATCGAAGCGTTAGATATTGTACCAAACAATAAGTTATCATCTATGTACGATCTATACTATAGTTTGGAAGATCTCATAATAATATTTGCAATCAGAAATTGACAACTAGCTGTATTCACACGAGTTTTTCAGCGAGGTCCAGTATTCATAGACATACACCCAAGGGAGTGTAGCGCTGAAAAGTTTCTGGTGTCAGAGAGGGAAGGACAGTCAAAGAGCTTACCCAAGCTGGAACGTGCATAACAAGTTAATGAGTTTAGTAATTAAATTATAATTATTAACTTGTGATGATTTGTGTAGGTACCTACATCGCCTGGTAGATTCATTTTACGACGCAGCGCTCGGATATTTTATCACTTATCAGGATCGTTGCATAAATAACTAAGAAGTACATCTATAATGCACTAGGTACCTAACTGGTAACCTAATCGGTGACCATAGGTACGAAATATGAGTACGTCGGTAACTGGGGAGTATTATACATAGACATATTAGTATGTCTATGGTAAAGTGACATACTTATGCCGGGTTGTTTGAACAATCAATAACATTTATTGAACCAATAGTGCTCTAAATTGTGGTCCCTTAAACGTGATTAATTGGCCCGCGATTGGCGCATTCAATTTTAGAGAGCCATTAAATCAATTTATTTTTTATACATCCCGGCATTTACAATATTTGTATAAAAGGTTGCCATATTCTATATGAATTGGAAGAGATGTCTTAAACGCACTTTTACTTGCACGGTCGTATTATATATTTATTTTATATTACCTACTATCGTTATTAATTTACTATCTTTATTATATATATATACTGAGTTACAATACATTGCTAAGCTTAGGTTGCTGCCCTACAGTATTGCAGCAGATATCAGTGTAACATTTTACCATTAGAATTTAGATTGTTTTAGTTATTATATTTGACGCACACAGTGAGTTATGTATAAATATACATTTTGTATCTATCAATGAAAACAGGTTTTTACTTTTTTCGATAGTAAAATATTGTGGCATAAACTAGTGAGTTGAGTGCTCGTTTTTGTAATATTATTAATATTAATATTATATTATTGTTGCAACGAGCTCAAACTTCTGACACGGCGGCGCCGCGTGTGATGACGAAAACGAATGTTCCATACATAATGATAGACTCTACCCACCTGTTAGAAATGTCGAATTCCATACATAATAATTATCTAAAAGTAAAATTTGTATGTACATACGCATGTATCATATTATAGTGAATCGGGTCAATAATCAATTGTACGTTGATAGCATTTACCCACTATAGAGTTACCGAGTGACTATGGTACAATGTTATATTACATTTCGTTATTTGAATTGCTGAAAATCCCACTTATATATCGTGTAAAATCTTTGAGTTTTTACCAACTCATTAAATTTAATTTATCTCATTATTTCTATATACATATTAATATTCGAAATCGATGCATTCGAATTTTTATTTTCATTGGGTAATCAACTCGCACCCATTCCGCATAAGGAATATCGAGGTGGTTAAAACCGTCGATATTATCTTTTATGCCTATCGTTTTCAATGGTTGGAATGACTAATTGAAGGAATGAGAATCGTTTTTTTTTTAATGGTGAATGTTGCTTTACGAATTATGTTTACACTAAAACCTTAATTTTAGATTTATCGCAATATAACGGAAATTTTTATAGTAGATCGCCTAAAGTCATGACTAGGACTCAAGTTTATGTGTATTTGTGTAACCAAAATATGTATTTATACAACAAAACTATGTACATAAATATGTGGTTAAAAGTTCCAAATATGTATTATCAAAAAAAACTGATCTGCTAAAAACATAGATATAAATATGTGTTCAACAGTTTAAAATATGTGTTATTTAAAAATAATAATAATTTCTAATAATATAATTATTAAATTTAATAAAAAAAATGATTATTTATCGAACTATCTTGGTTAAAATTTATTCTAACAGGCATTTTTAAATTTTCAAATTCAAAAGCTTGCCGATTCTGTAGAAAAATTTCTTTATACGTATAGCCACACCAAAAATATGTCCGGTCGACACCACCGAACTGACGATATTATACTACAGTGCTACACAGGTCGTAAACTATTTACACAGGCTTTCCTATGATAAGCGTTTAAATACTCTGAACTCTGAAGAAAACACGCCGAAACAGTTAATTTGTCTAAATAAAAGAGAAAAAATTAAATAGTTTGAAATATGTAAAAACATGTATTTATCACAAAATATGTAAAAATATATTGTAAAATCAAATACAGCTCATATTACCAAAAATCTTGTGAAAGGATTTTTTTACTTGCGAAATCAGTTTATCATGATATACTGAAAATATTTATTTAAGTATTAATCTAAGCATTCTGAGCCTTAGTCATATCTAGAGACCTGATTTTTACATCTTTTTATTGTGAGTATGCAGCTTCAATTGAATAAGCTTTCTCGAGGATTCATTTACCTATGAACTGATATACAACATTTTTTAGGGCATAAAAAAGAACATTTCAAGGTTAAAGAATATTTATTGTAACTAGGAATATATGGCCATGTTGGGATTTAATTTTGAATATTTTATTAAAAATCTAATGGCTTATCAAAAAATGCAAAAATATTTTCATTATAATATCATATTTATCATGACGGAATGACACAAAGTAATAATGATAAGAAATTAAAGACATAACATTGATAAGAAAATCAATTATTCTCTTAGATTCTATAGATCTCTTATCTTATACTCATTGACGGAGCATGGCAGTCTTGGTTAGCACTGATCGAATTTCGCACACTTCTGATCAAATTCTTTAATTAATAATAAATATTATTAGGTGTACTAACTACTAGCACAGTAGCCACTAGGGGTCAAGTTTTGGTAAATTAAAATGCCAAAGAATCCTCTTTACCCCTCTACTTATTATTTTTTGAATTCATAAGGCTAAATTATTTAAATTGCAGCTGCTTTAATAGATACTATTATTCTGTTATTCAATGATAAATAATCCTTTTTTTTATTTTAATTATTTAAAACATGTTATTATTATTGTTTTTTGAATTCATAAATCTTAACTTAAGGTATGTAGCTATGTGCTACAATCAAACATCTTAAATATAATTAAACAAAATAAGTACACGAGTATAATATCACCATAATATTATAAATTATACATGACTGTTTGAATAATTTTTTGAAAATCGGGATTAATTTAACAATCTTATAATTTTATAAACTGCTACTTTTATTTGATTTTAATATATTTTTATGAAAAACAATATTTATGCATATAAACGATTATTTCGATGAAATTATAGAGCATAGAAACATCTTATTTTCAAAATTTTAAGCTTATATAAATCCGGTCTCTAGTCATGGCATATAAATGTCTTATGATACAAGACATAAGACGTACACACAATCACAACTTATAATCTTTCACTAACAGTAATATAGTACACAAAAATAACCAAGAAATGACAAGTACATATTTTAATGCCTTGTTTTTCTATACATCTGAATAATTTCGGAATTTGTTAAATTATTTTTGGGCGCATAAAATATAATTTGCATTCAAATATATATGACTGGTATATGCTGAAGTATACAGGTAATTCACCAATCTTGCTCACTCCCATTTTTTTTAATAATGAATTTATTCAAATTATGATTTTTGGAATTATTAAATATACTTATACAACACATTTTTTCACATTCTTAAATTTTTTTTCTACTTCTTAATAGGACTAATAATTTTGAAGTGAAACTAAAAAATGTATTTATATTTATTTATATTATTAGGTGTTAGTTACGTAAATACGAGTGGGTGATAATACTTTGGCATACTGCACATATTGAGTATTTATATATTGTATATAATATGAATGTATACTGATAATACAGTTATTCTTATAAATTTTAAGGGACCTTTGTCAAGTACAATAATTGTTTGGAAATTTATTAGAAAACGGCTTTTTTTGTCAAATCCATAAATATTACTACCTATAATATTGATATAAATTATAAATATATAATATACCTAATATTAAACATTCGTTGTGCTGGGTATAGTTACTAAATATATAAATTACTCATTAGCCCTTACGATCTAACGATGTTATTTTTTAGTAATTGAATTACTGGTTAAAACCTGACAATTTTACACATTGTTCTTAAGTAAATAATACTGAAATCATAAATCATAATAAAAATTCTAATCACAATTTTTCTTAATAGACATTTGAAGCTCAAATTTTGACGAAATCACATAATATGTAAACAAAGAAAAACGATGTTAGCACAGAATAAATTAATGATGTTGGTGTAAACTTTGTTGTAAATTAAGAACATTATTCGTGGGGACTTAAAACTTTTACATAATATGTTATGTATTTAATTACCTATATGCAATGGTATAGATATTTATGGTATAAATATTTTGTTAATTTGAAGCTCATTTATACCACGAAGTTATTGACACTGTTCCACGGTAAGGTGGTATTGACATACAAGTTAATAATAATAAATACAATTATAATTTATTTATAATATAATACATTTGATGTGTTCTGTAAAAATTAAATCGACCTATCGCAATACTGAAATTTATTACTTTAATATAGCAATAACAAATTTAAAAAAAAAATTAAGAAATAAACTTGATAAATATTCTGACAGATAGTCTTCGCTCAGAATCGTTTTTTTGTATATACAATATCATTTTCAAATATCATTGAATTCAAATTTAACACAATCCATTACCCAATCGATACCTACCGTACGATAGAGAAGTACTCACTTGCCTACTTTTTTTAAATTAATTTTTTAGTTTATTAAATATTACTCTTCCATTTCAATTTATTTTAAACACCGTACAAATTTCTATAGAACAAAACATCATATACAACTGCATTAACAAACAACTCATGTGTACGTATGATTGTAATAATATATTAAATTACAATTATAACTTTACAATATACTTAAAATTTACCGATCATTATTAAATGTATGAGTACCTACTAAACTTATTTTTATAAGCTGATTACCGATTAGCCATATTAACTGTGTAGATGAGATAATCTTGATACGGCAAGAATTATTGACAAGATGATAAGAGAGTTGGATATAAGTAAGTGTTTTTAAAATTTTGAATTACAATCAGAAAAGGGAACAATATTTTTCTATAGGTATTTTATTTATTAGTTATTATAGTTCCGTAGGTATTTTATTACTGTAAAACAATATTTAAGCAATGCCAGTTAATATGAACAAATTGAAAAAATCTTTTTAAAGTTGGTAATTTATTTATTATAATTTAAGTTACAGCTCAACCCATTATTTGTTTTTTTTTAAATGCATAACATAGGTGTATATTTGATTAGTATGAATTAATTTCACCATACATTTTATTTCACAAGGGGTAATTATTTTGTAACTCAACTCATTTACCATTTGAAAATTATATATTCAACTCTGATTTTATTATACAGGTAATATTTTTTTAGCATGATATGAAATTTAATCGTTCGGAATATACTACCTATGGAGTTTGAACAGTAATTATGTGGTAGCGTTCTTCTTTGGATTTTGCCGTCGATCACTGCAGAAGCGCGTCACAAAACAAATGAGTTTTAAACTTGACGATTAAAATCCGAGAATTTAAATACATACCAGAAAATTATTACTATCATTAACTTGGTTCGTTTTCAATACGGAGATAAAACCCATGAGCTCGCATATCATACACCGTAAGCACACAAACTTGTCTTAATGGTGCAAAAAATGAGCGGTCGTCGTGCAATCGTCCGGAACTCGACTATAAAAAAAAAATATACTTAGGTATAAACTATTATATTATCGGCTGCTGATGTTTGCGTGACACTCGGCGTCGGTCGTCGGACAACTGCGCACCGCAGAGAGAACATCCAAACGAAGATGACGATAAAATATTGATATCGTAACGTAGGTACATATGCGAGCGCGATGGTTGGAACCGGCTGATGACGAAAAGCAGGTCGAGGTGAATATAATATATATATAATATTAATGCATACAATACGTTTAATAACACCATAATGTATATACCTGTGATACAAAATGTTGTATGTATAACATTCGGACCTTGGATGGCCTTCACCCCGGTGCCGCTGTATTAATAATATATATATAATAATACCTATATTACTATAGTATTGTATAATACAGCATTATATAGCTTGATGCTGCAGAAGGTATCCAAGGTATGCCATCTCATACCACTTTAGCAGTCTGATGTTGAATATTTTTTAAAATTTTAAAACTTTTATTCTATCAATTCCACAAGTGACAAGTCAAACGAGTCCGATTTTTTTTTGTTTTGAAGTTATCATATCGGTGGGTAAAAAAAAAAAAAAACAATGCCTCGAAACCGGTTCCATTCGATTGTATTATAGTACCTAGCGAGAGTATATTATTATTATTATTATATATTATAATGTAGTACGATGTGTTCGACGAGTGATCTCTGTACCACTCGAAATTAAATCGTACTCATTCTAATGAGGCGACTCCTTTGAACGTGGACAGCAATTCATAATGTTCGGCAGTTGGTAAATACACTATACTTATAATATTACAGTATATAGGCTTTGTTAATTTGTTTCTTAAATATTGTTTCCGTTAATGTGAAGCTGAAAATAAAAGAATAGAGTGCGATCATCATTCTCACTTTTTTATTCATAAAAGAGAGACATACCTATAGATATATTATAGAGACACCACGTTGTTATGAAATGAGAATGCAAAATGTATGCCTTACAAATTTACAAATTTGTCATAACACTTATCATACAAACACATTTCAATAAGGTAACGGATTTGAATAAAACTCATTTATACTAATGCACTAAACGTGTAGGATATTAAAGTGCGTTGTATGCGCAACAATAATTTATAAGCAAACCAGAAAGGATTACATTTTTTGTATAATAAATCTATTTTTTGGTAAAACCGTATTATTGAGTAATATAATAAATCAAATTAAATAAAATATAATTTACCTACAGGCTACAGCAATCATCAAAGGTTTTGGATGTTAAGATTTCTTATTACCTCAATAAAAAGTGAACCAAATCAGTATTTGCGTAATAGTTTTATAATTGTGAGTTGTGACCTATCGGTTATTTTATACAGTAAGGTATGTGAATAATTATTTCTAGTCATAATAGTTTAAACTTTAAAGTATCTCGCTAATATAATTTAATTTGCAATAATTTAAACACTATGTTTAAAATAAAAATTATTTTGAGAAGAGTGCAGAGGTATATAATTACAGAATCCAGTTATAACTATTACCTACCTATACCTAATAGTGGATAATACTCATATTATTTACTACATATGAATTATGGTGAATAGAAGACCTGTTATATATATCATAATATTAGAGATAGTAGGTACTTGTATAACTTCATATATTTTAATAAACTGTTTTAAAAATGGTTATTTTGTTTGTAATTGTAATTTATAATTTTGTCATTATAAATAAAAATAAAAATTTCCTTAATTATACTTGATTTTCAGCAGTATTTTGAAATTGTACTTAGTTGTAGATATGGCATACACCTAAACTAATTTTACCTTATACTTCGTCTTGTATCTAAATTCTAAATTGCTTATCCATAATTTATCTACTGCTTATTTGTTAGTGAATTTGTTTTTCTACACTGATCATTAAATGGAAAGTAAATATTTACTGTGGTATAAGTATTATTATTAACTATAGTCTTTAGTTATTTTAATAAATGTACTATCGTTAAATACGTTACGTAAACACCTATGGTGGTTATATTTTTACTCTGATAACATACTATAATTCCAGCTGAAAATGTATTCTTCTAAAATTGTACGTACCTTGCGTTTGATAGTTAACAATAGAAATAAAGTCACCAAAAATATAAACAAAAATAATAAGCCACAATCTCAATCAGAAAGCAGTAAATGATATAAATGATATTTACATCTTTCACCAACCCCCCTTCTCCTCCAATAACTCTGCAACTGTAAATTGATGAAAATATTTTATTTCTCCAAACCGCTACTTCATTCTTACTGAATTTGAGATCAACTCTAGACAACATTAGTTCAATTGAAATTGACACACAAAGTTAGGAGCCATACACTCTACCAAACATACACCAAAGAAAAAAGATTCGCTGCCATAGACATTAGTAAAAGGAGTAATACAATATTCTGAATTTTATTATAAGCAAAGCACTTTCTGATGTCACTGGTCTTCATCCACCGACACTTGTTTCATAAATTTCATCAGCAATAAAGATATTCATGTTCTTTTCTGTTAGATAAATTACTAATATAATACATTATTGTACCAAGAACCTACTGCTACTGTTCTTTTTAGATCTTGAACCCCATAAGAACAATAATAATATTTTTAATATTACTTTGAACGAAAATAGGTATCATTCAAATTCAAATAAATTCAAATTTAATACCAACCATTGAAATGACTTGCCCAATGAAGAAACAGTATACACTTGACAACTACTATACTTAGGTACGAGTAGAGCAAGTTTTTAGTTACCTATATAATATTATATTCTATATTTTCAATAATATTGTAAGCTCAGTTACAACAAATACTCGTAACACTCGTAAATCGATCATAGTTATTAGTTGTACATAGTTATGTCATAATTAGGGCCCGGATTTCAATGCAAAGTGCATATTTTTTTGGTTGATCATATACAATGCTTTCTAAGTACATAATTCGTTCCATGTAACGAGGGTTTGAAAGCTACAAATTTTATTTTGCATTTTTTTGCATATTTCGACGTTTTTTCATTTTTAGAGCATTTTTAGCATTATTGGGTCATTTTGTTGGGTTTTAATGCATATTTGTTCAAAATAGATATAAAACTAAAAAAAAAACTACAAAAATATTCTTTTGGTCAATAGAAGGTCATTGGTGTTTAAAAATATTAAACATTATATTATTGTTCAATGCATTGCNTTTTTTCGATTTAGTTTTTATCTTATCTTAATCTATTATTGACTGTAGATGTTTAGAATGAATAATATTTCCTCTAAAACGGCCAAAACATGCATGTCGACATCATATCAGTCAATATTTAAAATTTTCAGTTTTTTTTTAATAAAATAATTATTATGTCTCATTTATAAATTACAATTTGTATATACAAAAAATATATGGCATTTTTAAGGTCATTTTAGTGGTAAAATGCATTTTTTAAGGGCATTTTTGGCTATTTTTTAGAGCATATCTGTATAGTTTTAAGTGCATTTAAATCCGGGCCCTAGTCATAATTAATGTTAAATCATATTAATATAATTTTAAGAGATTTAAAATTGTACCCTGATTTGGATTAATGACTAGCATTGCTGTGTACTTATAACTTTTTGCTTAGGAACTAGGAAGAATATAAGATTTAATATATAGTCACTCAAAACATTTGTGACCGAGTTTATAATTTGCCCTGGAAAAAAATGGTCAAATACTTCAATTGTATGATGAGTGACCAAATGTTAATTTTATTGAAGGATGATGGTAATATGTACGGTGTTGGACACAAAATAATATTTGAATAAAATTACTAACAACAATTTTTATTTTACAACAACACTATAGAATCATAAATAAAAAAGATTTTTATCACAATATTCACTAATCATTTATAAAGATAACATTTGTTTTCATATTGCAGTTTATTTAAATTGGCGATTGATTGAAGTTAATAAAACATTAAACACCGTATACGCAAATTTTAGGATCTGAAATATATACAAATATGTGCCTATTATATATTATGATAATTTCTGTTTTCCAAAATACATCAACCGAGAATTTTAAGTAATCAAAAAAAAACAACTTTGGAACTACATATTATTATATTTATAAACGTTGGTTATAATTTATAACATTTATAATAGATAAATGATAACATTGCTTACTTTGACAAGTAGATTTAAGTTAACGGTGAAAATGGAACCAACTTTGAACTCCAATGGTATTGATGCTCTTGTCATCATCATTAAAATAAGATGTTTAAATGATTTGTTTCGAGAATAACATGATCGATGTTCAAAAAGTGAGTTCAATATACCATTGTGCTTGGAAATTAAAATAATTATAAATATGTAAAGATACACGCAATCAGCCACTATATATGAACAATTATTGACGTATAATGTATATTAACGTTCATGGAAATATTTGTTTTAAATAATTTGAAGGCATTATTAAAAAATATTTTTTTACTATATTTTATCGTTTTATTTTGATAAAAAATTATAACGATGAAATATTGAAAACATTTTTTTTTAATGTATATTTGTTATTCACTTGAATTAAAAAAAATATATTTCCAAAAGCATTAGAAGTTTTGCCTACCAATTATACACATCGCCACATAATATGTAAATACGTGTATAAGTATAATGCATATTATAATATATACTTACTAAATCATACATATTACTTGCATAAATGCAATAAATTATAATTGTCATGATACACGCCACACTACTAACTATACATAGTCCCAATATTATTTGATGAATAAAACCCTAAAAATAATACAGGTATAATTAATAACTTACATTTACATACAAATATTTGTACAATTAATTGTTATCGTATGATCATAATTAATATTAATAATAATATAGAATTATTTTCTTTTACAACTAAATTAATTTTACTATTTATTAGATTCAGAACGGAACGATGAATATACTAATTTTACAGTAATGAGTGTTTTTTTTTTATCTTTTGTGTCTGTGAACACGATAAATAGTCGAAATAATGCTTTGATTTTCAACTTCAGTATCGTTCCAATGAGAAAGTCAATGCAGGTGGTGCATTCAGTCAAACGAGCTCCAAAATTAAAATTCAAAGAGTTTTGCCAAAATCCCCGGGAAAAACAAAATAAATATTAAGGGAAAACTGGAATTTTTACCAGTTTTTGACAAAATCGATTTTGGTTTTGGGTGTTACTAAAAAAAAAAAAAATGTTTTTAATGTGATAGCTATTTATCGCCACATGAATTTACGATTGTTATTAGTTATTTTAAATTAATGTAAAAAAAAATGAAATAAGATAATACAATAAGGTTCTTCGTAAGTTATTGTTAGCTGAAATTAAAAAAGTTGAGAGTAAATCCACAGTAATCTATTAAGAGAGTCTGAAGTCACGAAAGTTGGCAAAATATTTTGAGTTATAAATTCATAAAAAAATTTCTTTTTTGTATTTAAGATTTGAAAATGTAATACAAGATTCTTGTAAAGTTTGCCTATCTTTATAAAAAAAAAAAAAATGCTTACCAGAAAGTCAAATAAAATTTTTACGAGTGTTTGAAGTTCAAATGCTAACAACGTTGGACACTCATTCGATTGCTCATGGAGCGATTTTTTTATTTTATTGTAATTTAAAAATGAATAACCGTAGGTACTTAAGCTTATTTTATCATTTTCTATACTTACTAAAATTTTCAAAATATTTTGATTCGTTTTGAGCTGTTTTTTTAGTATTTTTTCGATATTTGTCAGTAAAAATGTTTCGTTGTGTCAAATAGCTTAAAAATCGAATACAATACATATATTGCTGCAGTAGCAGTTAAAAAAATTAAAAATACTTAGACTGGATTTTCTTTATAATCATTTAAAGTTAAAATGTTGACAATATTTATTAAATTCAAAATTTACAAATTATTTGTGGTGAAAAATGTATAAAATGTTCAACTTTTATAGCCAAGGATTGAAAATGTAAAACAAGATTGCACGTAATTAGTTAATTGTGTAACTAAAAAATATATAAACACAGTTATTTTGTACAGTTATTTTAAGTTAAAATTTAGATGAAATTACATGTTTGAACCAATAGTAACGATTTTAGTTTTTTTGTTCTAATTTTATAATATTATTCGTAGTACATGACACTTTTAAAGTAGGTATATATTTATATTTTATACACACAATGATATATCCAAATGCAATTTTTTAGTCAAAAATTAATTTAAGCCACTATTATAGTAGTGTAGTACTTGCCTATTATATGGTAAAATAAATTACTTCAATCATATTAATATCATAAAATATAACTACTCAGTAACATAAAATATTTATAGACTAGCCGTCTTCTCTCAGAATCGTTTTTTGTATACAATGATTTTATATAATTGAATTGAAAATGTTTAGTTTTTAACCATGTAACTAAAAATATTTAAATATTGTTAAAATTAATTAAATATATTACTACCACACACCTGTATGACTTGAATCACGAAACAACTAGTTAAGCCAACATATAATCCACAAAATTCTATTGTCATTAATATTGGTTTTTCATAAATTGTCTTCATATCTTCAAAAAACCTAAAAATACAGTAATAGCAGGTTTATGGTATTAATTATAGACATTACAAATTTAAAAGCTTTATTTTATTTGGTCTCTTACTAATTTATGCTTTAGTGTATGTGGACAGTGTTATGAATATGCCACATTGACACCTGCACTATTCAGGTTAAAGATATTATTATTTGGGGAACTGATTCAAAAGTAATAATTCATTACCAAATAATTATACAATTATATGATGATACATTAGATTATTAGGTGGCTAAATTGGAATAAACAGGAGTGTTTAATCCATTTTAAATATTTTTTTGTCCGGCAGAGTTTATAAATTGAATGTCACCAAGAATACCTATGAACTATATACAGGGCATTAAACACAACTCACTTCAACACCTCTTGATGGTGTTTGATCGCGATCTTTAATTGTTGTTCTTCGCTGTTTAATATGGCTTCTTCGACCTGCTCGTCGAGTATCTGAAAATGTCTCTTCACAACGCCCGTGGAATACATGAACGTCACATTCAAGAAACATATTTCCAAGTGTGCAAAGTACACGGGCAAAGCGTAAACAATATATTTGCAGACGTAAACAGACAAGTTTATAGTTTTTATCGGCAAAACGTCTACGAAAGGGAACGTGAACGGATCGCCCATCTGCACCCAATCCAACGAAATTGTGTACAACACGGAAACCGCCACGAACACGTTTGACATGATGAAATAGTGTTTGATCACCATGGCGATTTTCTGTCTATAGTTTTCCGGTATTCCCACTTCCTGGGAACGGTGGTACATGTCGCGAAATTGTGACTGATGGTAGAACCGAGCGGCTATGAAACCAAAAATGTGGATTTCGATTAAAAAGCACAAGAGGCCGTAAAGGCGCATGGATAAATCTTCCGTCGAGTAGACAATCGACAGGTACGTCGAAATGGTGAAGAACAGAGTAACGGCTAACTCGCAGTAAGTAAAATATATCACACACATTGTGTCATAACTGCGGTCGTCACTGCATCCCATTTTTCGCAAAAATATGTCAACTATGTGCTCCATGTCGTGTCACCGTAACCAAACTGAGTGTGATTGTTTTTTGGTTCTAAATTATTCAACACTGATGTGGTGTTTATAAACTAATATTGATATGCAAAAACATATGCAATATTTAATATTTAATTTAAAAGGTCCGCCTCTTATTAATAATGTAAAACTAACTACTACCTATGAATCAATTAGATTGATACTAACAAGCACTAGCCAATACAATATTATTTAATTTGCAACTTTTGGACTATATTATTGACCTCCAGTAGAAAGAAATTAATCATTAGAATTTTTATTTATTTAAAATTGCTACTGACATGTTAAAAAGTAGAACGCTATCAACACAGTAATAATAAACTATATTCTTGGCGGATATTTCTCTGGGGCTTTGGTTTATACTTATGTGGTGTTTGTGTTGCGTCGTATAATTTTAAGGCTTTGAAAATATAATTTCTATTGTAGGTTTGAGTCCAATGAGAAAAGAAGGTGGATTAATTATTGTGGATGTAATTTGAGGATGGGTAGTTTTTTGTTAAAGAAAACATTTTAAATGGCATAACCATGATTTGACATGGTTTACACCATATTCGCCCTAGAGTATAGTTCATCATGAAGTTTATCAGACATTAACATAACAATGTCATCTGCAAAACAAATCGTTATAGCATTCACTACTAAGTTAAGTAAGTAATTAATAATTGTTATGAAAAACAATGGCCCTAGGACAGTTGTGGCACATCATGATGAGTCAGATTTGTCACTAGCAATGCTCGATTTTCCATAAGCACTACCAGCCACATATCAAGTGGTGTGGATGATGTCAATATTTATGTTGATCATAGACGAAGTTTTAAGGCAGATTCTGCTTAGGACATTCTACTACGGAACGTTTTATTAGTAGGTACCTAAGTAAACACTAAACAGTTTTATTATAAAATATATTTTATAAGAGTTGTTAGGTAGAGCTAGGTATTTTCTTATTTTTTTTAGTATACCAGTTCCTAGTTGTCCGTTTAATATTTTAAATTTGGTAGTAATGTAGGATGTGTTAACGATTATCCATAATACTTTTCAATTATTTTTATTATGACGTCAAATGCCTTCAGGTGAGCTTTCTTTCAGATTGGACGGCTTTTCCTATATTATTTCGGTAAGTGTTTAAAATTGACTTAACTGTTAATTTTGAACAATGTTGATTGTATTGAACCGTTGCATTATCTTAATATTTTTATAAGAGTTTCATTCAAAAAACTTATGAAATAAAATATTTTATAGGTACCAATCATTTTTTATTTCAAGTACATAAATCATTATAATATATATTATACATTCGAGTAAATCGACTTGGATTACATTAGATTATTTATAATAATAATACATGTTATTGACATAAAAAAAAATGTTAAAAAAATAAAAAACAACAAACAATATTAATGTTTCATATTTATACATTTTATCGTTTTATAAATATTAAACTTTCAATAACATGACAAATTGGTTATTTTAAAAAGGAATCATAAACTATAGAGAATTTAACTTCTAACGAAATAGTTTATTGGCACGTATAATGTTTAAAGCTTAATCTATTACAACAAGGATACAATCAAATATATAGTATAATAGTCACATTACATCTTATTACACATCTTTCGTAGTTGTGCATGTGTATGTTTATCCGACACGGACAAGTCGAATAAAAAGGTAACTCCCATTAATACTCACATAATAGTTGTCGATACGCTTTTTAAATATCATCCTAGTCGAACAAAATTATCTGGTGTCCTGGAGTAACTGAAACAATACAAGTATTTCAAATATAATTTCAAGTCGCATTCTCGTGTTCTTAAAATATTATCCAAACCTATAGGCTATAGGTTATTTATTTATTGTTATTATAGGTGTTATGATTATTTATTTATTATTAGAATAACCGCCATCTGTCTTTTAAGAACAATGTTAGTAATACAAAAATGTACAGATCGTGTGGCACTGATACCAAATGTATAACCAAATTTAATAACATTTTACAGGGATAATAATATTATACATGCAAATTAAGCCTAACATTTTATAAATCTAAAAAAATGACTTTTCTAAACAATTTATGTCACGTTTAATACCAAGTGTATTGCATTTTTTTTTACATTTGCCACTATTTGCATTCAAAAATTTGAGTACACTCATTCCGTAAATTAAGATCGTTTTTTTTTAATTTTCTCACATTTCTCTAGCTATCGTCTAACAATCACATTTTACAAATTCCAAATGTGTTATTATAGAGTGCCATTTAAACTGTTTGTATTTAAATATATATATTGATTTTATAAGTTATAACCGGAAAATATAGCTATTTCCATTAAAGTGGTTTTTATATTCTAATTATTAGTGTATAACGTAGGTATGACTAAATTATTTTTAAAACATTAAATTTAAACTAATTATTTAAATTATGTAGGTATTATAATATTCAATTCTGTTGAAACATAATACAAGTGAATCATTATTATACGCATAGCGTATAATTATACATATACATAATATAATCATTATTATATTCATATAAAATATTACCCAGAAAGTGTGTACAACTATTACTGTAAACATTAAAAATTTGAATATGTGCATCGTGCAATATAGTAAAACAATTTATATTTACCATGAAGTTACGTTTTCCCTGATGTCACAAGCACCAATGAGTTCATTGAATCCTAGCCCAGTTCCACAATTGTATAGCCGAGGCCTACCGCTAACGCAAAGGTAAAACTTTTGACAATCCACAGAGTTGGGATGGAGTTTGTGACCTTCCAGCGGGTTTTCTTCGGGTGGGCATCTAAACCCAAGAAATGCTGTAAAGTATCGTAAAAAAATTCATTAATTGATTGATTCTTACGTATTTTTGGCCTAATAGACATTATAATATTATAAAGGTAGTTGTTGTGCAAACAAATCAAATTTAAAATTTAAATTATATATATATATATGTTTATATTATATTTACGACGATTATATAGATTTGACTGAACACGAATAGTTTCATAATATATCGTGATTTTTGTTACGCAATTCTCATTTCAAATAAAATATTATATACGATTTATAATGGTATTTTAAAATTGTTTTATTCATGTATAATTGCCATGCGATTATGTAGGTACCCATAAGAAGAAAAAGTCATTTCTGCGGAAATTTTGGGTTTGTGACTATCTACTGCATAATACAATAAGTAGGTAAATTAATCTAAATTTGTTTCTCTATAATAATGTGTTGACATACTTCCATAAAACTGTAAATGCAGAATAATTTATTAATGCCGTTTTTGCTATTTAAAAACAGATCGGGATTAGTGATCATCAATTTGAATGTTCGTTCATTTCATGCTCGATGTGCATTCCATTCAATACTTAATTAGATTCATGAAAACTGATAACACTGGCCTAGTGTAAAATGCATCATGTATTGGGTTTATAAATGTGATTATCATTGATTCGCATTGTACCTACATAATAATATTAATTAAATTGTTCATGTATACATTGTTCATCATATCAATATGTATATAATATATATACATATGTATCATAATATTGTGGGCATTATAGGCGTCTGTAGTATTAACTATTCGTATTATTCCAAGAACTTAACTTTTTAATTTGTTACTAGTTTTTTTACATATTATAATATTAACAACGTGTACAAAAAATATACAGTTACATTGTAATTTATAATTTACCTTCTGCGTCACACGTGTCCACCTGATCCGGCCAGTCACATCTGAACGTCAACTCGTTAAACGCCAATCCTTCAGGACAATCAAATTTGTATCCTATGCCGTTTACGCAGTTTAGAAACTGACCACATTTTGTCTCGTCACCTAGCCGAAAGTAACCAAATTGCCTTGGACAGTCGCTGGTGGATTGTGGGGGTTCTGCAAAAGTTTTAGATTTTTATACATTTCTTATCGATGGACTATAATAGGTAGTCAGATTTATAAAATAGTTTATACATTTGTCTTGAACATTTTACAGATGTTGCTGATTTCCATCAAGTTTCAAATAGTTACCTAATTTATAACCATGACGTGTAACCATAAGAATACTGTGAATGGAAATTATACGAGAGTTATTAATTTAAATAGAACTTACGCAATTGGGTTCTTCCCTCACAATCTACTTCTGGTGGATATTGGCAAGGGTAAGAGAATATCGATGACTTTGAGTTGAAGAACAGTCCGTCAGGACATAATTTTTCTGCGGGTACGCCGTTCTCACATTGTAAATATCTGATACAATTAACATTTTATTTACAACGAAAATCTTATTAAAAAAATATGTGTAAAAGTTACAGCAGCTAGGTAAAAACAATGACGTTAAAATAAAATAAATAAAGATACAAGGAATGAGAAAAAAATTAAATTTTTTATAACTAAACTACATTTTTAGAAAACTTTTGAAATGTGTTGTATAAAATAATAATAATGAATAAATTAATTTAAATTTCAGTACTTATATATATATATATGTATTATGTAATAATAGGATTTTTTACTATTTCTTTCGTATAATTGATTCGTGTCCAATTTACTATAATCATTATCAGATAACTATGTACATCACTACCTTTACTTAAATATATATACTGAGTAATTCTTTTTAAGATAAACATAAACACTAATACATTTTCTCTAGAAGTTTTCATGATTTTGGGAATACATTTTTTATTGTTAAATTTTTCCAAATTCAATACTTTTTAGAATTTAAGAGCATTTTTTGTTAATTTTAATATGTTTATCTATTTATATAAAAATAAATGTATGTTGATAGATGGGACTTATAGAGTTTGAAACTATTGAATGTTGGCACAACATTTTGCAGACTCGGTAATTTTTTATAGGTTTTGTTTTTCAAAATAATATAAAAGTTGTTATAGAGTTCACACATGAACTTCGTTTTGGCTCACGAAAATCGAATATTAACCATCGGTCACATATATAAAAGATACTTTTATAGAATCTATCTACATCTATTATGTATAAATTAATGTATGTTTGTAAATTGAATTTTAATGAATTAATACCTAATTAATACACATTTAGATAAGCGAAGTAGAGTGGCACAATGATAGGTCGCTCCACGTAGCAAATCATTGATTCACTACTCTGATCATATTGTAACCTTTGAGTAAATATACTTACATAATTAATT